CGCCCGCATTAACCTCCCCTCTGCCACACCCCAGCCCAGGGAGACACTGTTTTGGCCTCCTGGGGCTGTAGTAAAGCTTACACTACAGAACACTCTGTAAACTGCACAGAATGAAGGGTTGGGGGCCCCTCTTTCTTATCTGTGTCTGTACCACAAATCTTCTCACAGAATCCTACAAAAAGGAGGTGCCCTCGAAGGGAAATTCGGAGGGCCTGATCCACCTTTACTACTTTCCTTCTGACCCCAAAGGTAATCCAGGTGAACCTTTAACTCTCCCACCACCCCAGAAGGAAGGGGAAGGGGAGCGGTGTCTCAAGCTGACTAACAGGACAGGCAGCATCTGAGGCTTCTCAGGCTGAGAAGAGGGGCAAAACGTAACAGGGCCTGAGGCAAAAACCAACCAGGCTACACCAAGACCCGTTCCTGTGAAGCAGCCTCCGCGGCCTGGCTGCTGGTCTGTGACGTTCTGAGAAAGTGGTGCCCGGCAGGACACGCACACCACATCCCTCTGGAGACAGGTACTATGACCATCCTTCCCACAGAGGCAGAGCCTGTCCACTCATCCCTTCCCTCCAAAAGGAATGGGAGCGTGGCCAACGCCCTGCTGGGAGAGCCAGGCCTGTCTGGCCTCACACACCAGCCAGGGAGGGGTCAGCCGCCCAGCTCCCCATTCCACCATCAGAACAGCATGTCCACAAAAGTCCCCTCCAAGAACGAGTGTGACCACAGCCCTAAAGGGACGACTGGACACAAGGACACACAGGAGGCCACAGGGAGAGCAGCGGGGGCTCCCAGTCAGACTCCTTCCTTCGGCAGCATGGCCTGACCCCGGGCAAGTCCCTGCCCTCCGAGGGCCTGAGCATCCTCAACTAAAATAGGGCTCTCAGTGACCAACCCTTCAGGTGTTGAGGCTGGGGTTGAGACTGGTGTTGAGACCAGCTGGCAGCATCAGAATGACCGATTCTAAATACAGATTTCAGGACGTTTCTGGAGGTTCTGCTAAGTAGTTGGTCTGGGTTGGGGCACAGAAACTACATTTTTGACAAATTCCCCCGGGTGATTCTGACGTGCCCAACAGGCCAGGCATCAGGCTGGGCACCAAGAGCTGCGGTCCTGTGGGAATCCTGCAGAGGTGGGAGGAGCCTGGGCGCTGTGGTGCCCACACAGACAAGGGTGGGGGACTGGCCACTGCTGGGCAGCCAACTAAAGGCAACCAACACTCCCCCGATTGTTTCTCAGATTACAAAGCCCCAAAGCACTGCTTTGCTTTGCTTTCCTAGCTACATGAGACTAGATTCATGCATGTAAGGGGTATGGGGTGGGGGGGATTTTTTTTAACTAAAACTCACAGAGAACAGCCAACTTTGCTAGAAATGCTCTATGAAGCAGGAAAATACTCTAAGTCATAGAAACCCTGTTACTTTTTTTGGACAAGGCAATCCTGTTTCTTAGAATGCCAAATGCACCCCCACCCCCTCACCCCCCATTATTTCTAGAGAAGCCCGGAAGGTGGGTGGCCATGCCCTCCATGGAACTGGGCCCCAGAGGTTGGGGACAGCTGCTCAGGCGTGGTACCCCAAGTTCAGGAATCCTGGGAGGTGCTCATTGGATATCACCTCATCTAACCATACTATAGTAGAGAATTCTCCCAAAAGCTTTGAAGTAGGAAGCAAAGTGCGACTCTCTCCTTTCTCCAAAGGAGAAAACAAAGAAGCCAGATAATTAGCATACTCTATGCCTTCCACAGTGTTGGTAACCTCATCCCTGCCCCCTGGGTCTTCTGAAGACGATTATCCTGAGATGACACAGGACCATCAAGATCCCTGGTGTCCTTCAGATCTCCTGTGAAGCATGGAGACCAGAGAGGCCACAGAGCGCTTCCCGGGCACCCACACGGCAGGGCAACCAGCCAGGGCTCTGCAGGCCGATTTGCCACAGGGCACTGGCTTCCTCGCTATCTGCTTCCCCCACTTCCACCGTCTCCCAGGGCTTTGCCCCACAGACACACAACCAACCGGGAAACAGCTCTGCTTTCCACAGATGTCAGGGTCCACACATACACCCAGAGAATCTCAACAACCATGACATAAACTCCAAGCCCTCACTTCCTGGTAACTTAAAACACTCGGAACGAGTGTTCCCAGCCAAGTCGACACCAGGGAACGACTAGAAAGAAACACCGTAATCATCCATGACACAATGTGCTAAGCTCAGACATGTCCCTTACACGCCTGCCACACACAAGTCAGAGCACTGGCACAGACAGTTTGCATTTCTGTTGGACCAGGATAACCCTAACTCTATGAGGTCTAACGGGCGGGGATGGCCCAATGACACTAATTTCCCCACTCAACCCACAAAGGAGGAAACTTGACGGGAACAGTTTAGTCTTTCTTCACCCACTGCTGATTCCTCCCCATGGAAAGAGAAGGCACCCAACTGCCCAGTGACATCAAGAACTACCCCACCGAGACGCCTCCCCTTCCCCCAGCCCTGCCCCCTACCCCTTAACCTAAGGAAAGGCTGCCTCTCCCCCTCGCACTGCTCTCTGTTTTGTTGGCCCACGTAGAGAAGCAGTTCCTGAAATTCAATGTCACCAGAAGAGAATGGTCTCCCCATAGACACAGTCCAGAATTTAAACTGAAGGAGGTAATGGGAAGGCTTGTTTGGATCCCAGCCTAAGCCACATCTTCCAACATAAGGCACGATGGCCTTCGGTGTGGGGGGGCGGAAACAAAAGCAAAATGCTAAGCTCCTGAGGTCAATGCTAAGCTCAATGAAAGAAAAAAGATTTCTGAGTACTACTGAGTCACCAACCTGAGGGGCTAACAGCATTTACAAATAACCTCAAGAACGCTATAAAGGCAGCGGTGCTGAGACCAGAACCCAGACCTGACCCTAACATCAGCCAGAATGACTCCAAAGTGACTGTGGGTCCTGACACCTTATTTGCTAAACTGAGTTGCATCTCTACAAACTAACGAATTTAATTACACACACACAGACTAAAAGTCTTCCTTTCCTAAAAGAAGATGGATATACTGTGCACAGATACTAATTACCACCGCCAACTGAAAAAGACCTCCAAAAGCTATTTTGTGTTTTTGCATAGAAAACAAGGATCACAAAACTGGAATTCCAAGTCCTCAAACTGCCTCAACTCCAAACTTACTAAAACGAAATCAAGCATTCATGTCCCAAAAGAAGGGCATGTGTTTGTCAAAAACCAACTTCTCAAAACAAGGGGGAAAGTTAGGGTTCCTTAAGTGCTCAAATGGCTAGTTAGCAAACTGAGAGGAACTAAACAATAAGCCAGAATCAACCTAAATATTAAAGGATACGTGCAGGCACACATGTAAGTGCAAATACACAAGAGAACAGTATTTCAGGCCTATGTTAACCTTCACTTTTGAGCCAACGGAAAAAAAAATCCAATGTGCAAACATATCAATATAAAACAGATACGAAGTTTTAAAGTTCCCATACAATTAAAAGTAACAAAACAAAAAGGAAACACAAAAGTTATCTGCAGCTGTAACCATTATGACAAAGAATGAGTACCTACAACATACAAAAACTCAGACTTAAAACAATGCTCCAGTTTTAGACCAATGACAAAGAAATGGACATACTGAAATGGGAGGACAATATAACCAACAGATG